CGGCAGCACCAGTCGGGCTCTGGGCGGTGTGAACAAAACGGGGGCTGAAAAGAAAAACCGGTTCCTAACCAGAAAAGCTCTAGCACGGAGCTAGAACGGGGACCGCGTTCGTGTGAAAGCCGCATAACAGGGCTGCAAAAGAGGGGTTTGAGCAGTATGAGGCATGGCTACAATGGGTGATCTGTTTGGTATTTTAAGCAAAATAACTTCACAGACATCTTTTGTATAGGTATGGCCCTACAATATATGTTTCCAATATAGCATAATAGGTCCACTTTAAACTACTTTAAAAAATGTTTTCAAGTGGAATGCACTGTGTGAAAGGAAGTAGCTGATTGATTATCTCTACCTATATCTGTCTGATGTGGCATCTAAACTTTATAAACAAAATTGAAAGCGTGTTCCTCCCTGTTTTCTTATGGTCCTTTTTACTGTGAAGAGCTTTATTTTGAATAATAAAAATAGATATTGTTTCTGTGATGACTGTTCACATAAAAATGAGCTACTTTCAGTATCTAGAGAAAGACTTGAAGAAGAAAAAAAAGCTCTTTAGTGAAATCTGTAAATATTTAATAATTCCTTGTACCACTTCTAAAGCATTGTTTATGCAATGAGATGTATTTAAAATGGTGGGGTTTTAATTAAAATGTGGAATGGGCAGAATGTTCGGCATAACAAAGAAATACTCAATTAAATGAATTAATGATACGCTAGACCTATTACCCCTGTAGATATAGATGTTGTATAGTACAATAAAGTATTGTATAGATAATTTGTGCTCGACTTAGTCTGTATTTGTTTTCTGTTTTTCTTCAGGGTCTTGCTGGCAAATCAGGGCCAAGAGGACAAAGAGGACCAACGGTACCATTTTACTTTTATTCATCTAAATGTTAGGTTTTATTGCAAAAGGACAAATGTCTGTTTAATCTGTCTTCAACTCAAGATGTTGAGCAAAGATGGACAAAAAGTGTTTTTGTCTGTTTGTAGTATTTAAGAATAACTTAGCACTGGGTTGAAACACACTGCCCTCTCTAGTTGGAAGCTGAAACAAGTTGTTTTTTTCTTTGCTTTGTTGCACCTGTAACCAGAGCCACCAGTAATTTCATGGAGTGAGAGTATTCATTTATTCTTTAAGCACTGATTTAATATGATTTGATTATTTAACATCAAGGTTATCTGGGATAGCATAATTTCCATATTGATTCTAACTCATTTTATTCTCTTTGTGTGCGTTCAGGGCCCCAGAGGGCAGAGAGGACCGAGGGGCGCCACTGGGAAAGGAGGAGCAAAGGTTTGTCTACGCTGTGAATTTCTCCAGATTTCAGAATGAAACTGTGTCTACAGGTGCATTGTGGGTGTCATTTTCATGACTTTGATAAAGATTATTGTTGATGATCATGTCTTGTTATGGACCATTGTCTCTATTATTATTCACTTATCTGCCTGGAACAGTCCAACATTCAAACCTCATGGTAAATGTGCCATTGTTAGCCAATGAGCTATTCTGTAATCTTTGGGTAGGTTATTACAATTTAGTGTCTGGATAAGGTCATCAATGAAGTACTTCAGTATAACACAACACAATACAATGTGGTACAAAATAATGAAATAAATATATACATTTATTTCAGACGTAGTAGAAGAGATATAAGTGGCAGAGGTATAATTATTAGTCATGATTGCAAGTTTTGTTTTGCTTAAAGCCATCTTTCCATTTTTTGTCTTAGTTAGCAAAAGATATGAAAAAATTGCAGTTTGTTATCCAAAATATTATATCTTATTAACTGTGTTGTTGTTTTGTTTCTTGTTAGGGAACATCAGGAAGTGATGGCCCTCCTGGTGGTTCTGGAGAGAGGGTGAGTTCCTAAACTTCATCACACAAAGACATTTTAAAGATTTTTGTAACATATATTGAGAATTGCTAAATGTTCTGATCATATCCTATCTTATCATCTCAACAGGGATTGCCTGGACCTCAGGGAGCCAATGGTTTCCCTGGACCAAAGGGACCTCCTGTAAGAATATGTTTAATTTAAAATGTATGGTAGATAATAGTAATAATACATTATTTAGATGCGCCTTTCAAAGCACTCGAGGACACCTTACAATTCAGAAAATACTCTTAAAAACTGAACAAAAGGACAGTAACAGGGAGCATGTAGGATACTATATATTAGAGATGCTTGGCCACTCGTTAGAGAATTGTAGTACAGTGTTACAACATAGTGTTGTGTTTATCAAATCAAATCAAGCTTTATTTATATAGCATCTTTTCATACACGCAATTTGTAACACAAAGTGATTCACAAAAACGCATAGACAATTCACAAATAGAAACAATACTAACTTCCCCTTCCCGGTTAATAATCAGTGTAACACATAGCTTTGCGATAATAAAAAAAAAAATATATATACATTTATATATATGTATATGTATGCATACACACTGTGTATATATATACATACATATATACACAAACAAACAGACACATTTCAACATACACACAATACAAACAATTCAAAGAAGAATAAAATATAACAGGTTCATGTTGCCTCTTTTTCTTGTAGTAAAAGCTCTTGTATGTTGGATTAAATGAATGTTGATGGTTGATTGGTGTTTCCTCACAGGGACCCCCAGGAAAGGACGGGCTGCCTGGACACCCTGGGCAGAGAGGAGAAGTTGTAAGTTGTATTTTTTACTACTCTTAAAGATAGATCAGCTGTTTAAGCAGATGCAATTAAGATTCTTCCCTGTTTCCAGTCATGGCTTTCTTTGAGGATGCAGCAATTCCAAAATATACCTAAAGAAGGTCAAACAGACTGAAATATGTTGGGTTAGGGTAATAAATGTAAAAGCAGTAAGCACCCATTCTCATTTTTAATCACGGATGCAGTCACTCAGAAATGCTATTTACCTTTAGCTTCTGATGCTGTGGGAAAAAGTATGAATAATTTGTCAAATAAGTAGTTTTTTTTGTTAACTGATCTTCTCTCCCTAAGGGTTTCCAAGGTAAAGTGGGTCCACCTGGGCCTCCTGGAGTCGTTGGACCTCAGGTGAGTTTTCCCATTCTTGATGCAGAATGTTCCTATCATTTATACAACTTTTATTTTCCTTGGTTTTCTTCTCTTTTCTTTTTCCTCACAACATCTTGTTTCCTATCTGCATCCTACCAGGGTCCATCAGGAGAGACCGGCTCCCTGGGCGAGCGCGGCCACTCTGGACCCCCAGGTCCACCTGGAGAGCAGGGACTTTCTGGTCCCTCGGGCAAAGAGGGCACCAAGGGAGACCCTGGACCCACCGGAGGCCTCGGTAAAGACGGTCCCGCAGGACTGAGAGGTTTCCCCGGAGAGAGAGGACTGCCTGGAACCCCTGTGAGTATGACCACGGGAAATACTCATCATGCTTATTATTATCATTATTTTTGCAGTAAATGTACCTTTTAGATAAAAATCCCTTGCATTGTTGAGGTGAAAGATTACTGCTAAATCCTTTCTTCTGTTTCTTTCCAGGGAGGTGGAGGACTGAAGGGAAGCGAAGGACCTGCCGGACCCCCTGGACCTGCTGTACGTTCAAAATCATTCTAACACACCCTAACCCCAATTTGCGGAATAAAAAGAAAACAGTGATATAGTTGGTCCACTCCGTTAAAATACTAACAACAAATATTTGTAGGTTATTTTGAGATAGGAAATATTTATTTGTGTGAGTTTCTTGTCCCCTTTATTGTGGGTTGTCTAATATTTCAATATGGGTTGTGGTTATACCATGTAATAATAATAAAATACTCAGTCCATCCATCTAAAGAATGAAGTATTAACTTGTCTTTATGATATTGTTCCTGCCTAGGGGTCTCCTGGTGAGAGGGGACTAGCTGGCACTTCTGGACCTGTTGGACCTCCTGGCAGACCAGGTCCCCAGGGGCCTCCTGGAAACTCTGGAGAGAAGGGAGTTACTGTGAGTTTCTGGAAATATTCAGTTGTGCATTTAACAAAAAATGCAGAATAAGATTCCAAAGACATTGTCCATCCAGTCAAAGACAAATAGCCAACAATTGCTTGTCCTCTTTGTTCTATTCCTCCTGTTCAGGGTGAGAAAGGCCCTATTGGCCCGGCCGGTCGTGATGGAGTCCAGGGTCCCGTGGGTCTGCCCGGCCCTGCTGGATCACCTGGAGTATCTGGAGAGGACGGAGACAAGGCCAGTAGCTCTAAGACTCCAAAACGTCCTTTTAAAAATCACCATTGTTACCGTATTATTCTACTATGAACTTAACAGGGAGCTTTGTCTCAAACATGTCTCCGCTGTAACGTGATGTGTCTTTGTTAATGCAGGGAGAGGTTGGAGAGCATGGACAGAAGGGCGGCAAGGGGGGCAAAGGAGAGCATGTGAGTGACACTGACCTCCAGCAAGCCCTAAGATTTATTTCTGGTTGGAAATCATTTGTTTGAATCACTGCTGTTTTGTAGTTTTGCTCATTGTTTGTATGTTTGTTTGTTGGTAGGGTCCTCCTGGTCCACCCGGGCCAATGGGTCCTGTCGGTCAGCCTGGTCCTGCTGTGAGTACAACATGTCATTCTTTGAAGACAAAACAGACAGTTTGCCGTGCCAGTTGGTTGTACTTGTTCCTCATTGTATACACATGTATTATACTGCATTTGGTGCCAGTTTAGTTTACTGTTAAGAAACGGAGGTTGTCAAACTCAAAGTTCTTCTATTCATTACAAACATTGAGGTTATGATATACATAAGCAGGGGAGAATTTTCCCAAGACAACCACTATTGTGTTGCAGCTTTTAATGTAAAATATGAATATTTAGCTAAATAAGGAAAACTATAAACACTATGCCGATCATTACTGAACATTTTATCGCGAGTCTTCAAGTCAAGTTTTCAATGTAGAGATGAAGTTTTCTGCTAATGTATTGTTATCTCTTATTTGATCAAGCTTTACATCTGTGTTCTTCTCCTGTGGTTCAGGGTGCTGATGGCGAGCTCGGAGCAAGAGGCCAGCAGGGGCCGTTTGGAGCTAAAGGAGACGAAGGAACCAGAGGATTCCCAGGGGCCCCAGGTCCCATCGGACTTCAGGTATCATAAAAGACACAATCACTTCATCCAAATTGTTATTAAATCTTTATTAAAGACTTTATTTTGATAATCTTTTTTTCTAAACCTTTCTGCTAAGTTGCTAAGCTAAACTTATTCTTTGTTTGTCACCTCTGTCCTGCAGGGCTTGCCAGGACCACCAGGTGAGAAGGGAGAGACGGGAGATGTTGGACCTCTGGTGAGTTTCAGAAATACATAACATCAATCATAATGACTGCTTCAGTAATTCATTCCATAAAAATACAATCATAAATGTTGATAAAAGCGTGAGCCTCCTTATGTTTCCAGGGTCCTCCAGGCCCTCCAGGACCCCGTGGCCCTGCTGGACCCAGCGGTGCTGACGTAAGTGTGATCAGCTCTTATTTACAAAAAGACTTATTGAATCTACAAAAACAGCAACATTCTCGGGTATGATTTTTGGACAACACTTAGAAACCAGTTTAAGTAGGGTGAACTGGTTATTTACTAGTCATTTTTAGGTAGGTAAATACAAAAGTGAAGTCGCTTTTTTCTGAAGATGATTGTTCAAATGAAATGTTTTTGTTTTTTAGGGTCCTCAAGGTCCTCCTGGTGGTTTGGGTAATCCTGGACCTCTTGGAGAGAAGGTACATTTAACTTACTTCGAAGCATTATTTCTGCATGAGTTTGATCGTTTCCAAATATATAGCACTCTGAAATCATTTTAATTTGTCCTAACACCTAAAATAAAATACTGTTTGCTGCATAGGGAGAGGCTGGTGAGGGTGGACCACCTGGAATTGGAGGAGAGCCCGGAAAGAAGGTGAGCGGTTGAGTGTCTGACCCTAACACCTGCTGGATCACGATATCGAGAGACTGTGGATTTACTGACTAGAATTTGTTTATCAATGAGTTAACATGAGATCTGTGCTCCTGTCGGCAGGGTCCACGTGGAGAGCGTGGAGAAAAGGGAGAGTCCGGACAACCTGGAACAGCTGGACCTGCCGGAGGACGAGGACGAGCCGGAGATGACGGGCCCAAAGGAAACCCCGTAAGACACCTACCATGAAACAAACACAACCATACACACAATGATTGCTGACACAGAGACTTAAACGATTCTTCTTACTCCTAATCGTATGGTCATAAAATCTGATTTTGAACTCCATTGTTTAAGTAGAGTTTTGTTTTGTCTCTAATGTCAGGGTCCTGTTGGTTTCCCTGGTGATCATGGTCCCCCTGGTGAGCTTGGACCCAGAGTAAGTACCCTGTTTTGAGGAATACAGCATTCTGTTATTTTTGTTTTCAAAGCTATGTTATGATGTGACTGCACGCCTCCAACAATTCCGCTTGTTCCACACACTTGTTGTCTTTTTAACTTAACACAAGGGAAAAATGACTAACCCTGATATGCTTTACTTCAGGGTCAAGATGGTGCCAAGGGAGAGAGAGGAGAAGATGGTGAACAAGGAGAATCTGTAAGTCAAAAAATGCAACAATGCAGATATGTCAGTTAAGTGTAATGAAAGTGTCTCAGGGTCCTCAATCTGCTGCCTTTGCCTCCCAACGCAGGGCTCCCCTGGACCTTCTGGTGAGAACGGACCCCCCGGCCCCCTGGGAAAGAGGGTAAGGTCACCAACCTCATTTAACGTGCACCTGTTCCTTACACAACGTTTTTAAAAGCGCACACTGGCTGTCATGAATTCAATCATGCATCCATTCTGCTGTTGTATTGTGATGTAGAGTTAGCCTATGTCGTATGCTTTGAGAATTGAGAGACAAATAACTGCGATACAAGATATTATTGTCATTTTTTAAATAAATGTAGGATCTCGTAAAAATTCTATCATAATAATGCAAGAACATAAATTCAAAGAGAAATTATCTTTTATTCTTAAGAATATTCATATTGGTGTTGAAATGTGAAAATATATATATATTCTAAATAAATAAAAACGAAATACAACCAAAAACTATTTATAAAATGGACTCTCTGGCTCTGTTTACAAAATGGCCTCTTCTCCACATTGCCCAGGTCTGATAATAGTAGCCAAAACCCTGCTGTTTATTCTGGCATCATGTTACCTAAAATGTTGTGACGTCAACATGCAAAGAAACACACATGTAAACACAACAGGCAATAAGGAAGCCAGCTTTGTATATATATTATTGATGTAATATATCATTTACAATAAGAAGATAACATGACTATCAAGACAGGCTTATAGTACTTGGTAGAGTTTCAGTAGTCTATATCGGTTTGTTGAAAGGCTATATTTGACAGACAAGTAATTCAATTTGATTACAGAATATAGTCGTCATTTTGTGTTTGTTAATGCACTCATTTGTATTCATCTTTTTCCAGGGTCTTGCTGGAACAAGAGGACCAGAGGGACGTCACGGCGAGAAGGGAACTAAGGTGAGTCCAGAGCCTTTATCTCCATTATTAAGCTCCCACTCTAACTCATGCTAATCAATACAAATATACTGTCAATGTACCAAATTGGCCTTAGATCGCTGTCACACTTCCCGGTAACGATCATTTCCATCATTGATCCCAGGTTAAATCACATACTCTGCCTTTTGCCTGAGAATATATGTATTTTTCTCTGTGATATATCTATACCACCAGAGTTTAAGGTAATGCATGCAACAACTTTTTAAAAGACGTATAACCATCTTTGTTGTCATTATCGTTCACAGGGAGACTCAGGTGCTATCGGGGCCCCAGGAAAAACTGGCCCCGTCGGCCCTCAGGGTCAACCAGGAAAACCAGGAACAGAAGGTCTCAGAGGACTCCCCGGATCAGTGGTCAGTAAAGAGTTGGATTTCATGTTGTGGACACTGTAGATAAAGCCATTTTCATTAGTAGCAAGTATATTTCATATCTGTTGGATGTCCACCACCTTCCTAAATTGTTTCTAACTGTGTTTCAGGGTGAGCAAGGAACTCCAGGACTTGCTGGACAGAAAGGACCAGCTGGACCTCTTGTAAGATCCAAATGCCTTTTTATTTGTGTGTTTACTTCTACTCTGCACTTGGACATAGAGTACATTCAGTGCCCTTCTCATCCAATACTGCCACTTCCCTCTTCCTGTCTTCCATCTCCCTCACCCTCTCTCATCATCAACTGTTTCTAATCTCCTGAACTCTTCCTTCTCTTCTTCTATTCCTGCAGGGACCTCCCGGTTTGCCTGGCCTTCGTGGAGACCCCGGTGGCAAGGGAGAGAAGGGACACCCAGGTCTTATTGGTCTCATTGGACCCTCAGGAGAGCAGGGAGAGAAAGGAGACAGAGGTCTTCCTGGGCCTCATGGATCTCTGGGATCTAAAGGAGAAAATGTAAGTTTGACCTCTTTATCTTTCTTATAGAGGGCCAAATCAACCAGCATTATTGACCTTCAATTGTATTTAGTTGTTCTTTATCTAATGTTAGACATGTCTTGTGTTTTATTACAGGGAATGGCTGGAGCGTCCGGACCCTTCGGCCCTGCTGGTCCTCCTGGTCTGCCTGTGAGTGACTGCACTTTATGTCCCATGAACATCTCATTTCCTGTTTCTTATTTCCAATATGTTCTTAAGTGCTCTAATAAATGACAGCAGAAAAACACTCAACAATGGTCACCATCATTAAAATAATGCCTCATATCTTTTCCAGGGTCCTCAAGGTGTCAAAGGCGCCAAGGGTTCTTCTGTGAGTATACTTTAAGGATGTTTGTACCTAAAAAATGAAGGAAATGTTCTACAAAAAGTGAATGAACTGGGACCTGTTGCAATAATGCTTCTTGAATCTTTCCCCTCTCTGCTGTGTTTAGGGAGGATCTGGTGCAAAGGGAGAAAAGGGTGTACAAGGACCTGCCGGAGCCCCTGTAAGTACTTCACTTTAATGTAAATCACTACTTTGTGTTGGGGAAATGTTTTTCGTAGACCCATAACTTTGACCCAGTTTATCAGTGTTTTATCTTCCTGTTCCTGCCTGTTGGCGTCAGCTGATAGAGGTTTTATTGTTCCTGTTTGATCTTGTTATGCACAATGTTGATTATTCAGAATCAGAATCAGAATACCTTTATTAGTCCCACAGAGGGGACATTTACATTGTTTACAGCAGAAAAGAGCCAAAGACAGCTTAATGTGTACCTAAGAAGCAAGCTATTAAAAAATTATAATAAAAAAAGTTATACAATTTACAAAATACACATCCTGTAACAGTTCTGAGTATTAGCAGCCAGGTATATATTGCACAGCTATTAACGGCATACATATATATTGCAAATATTGCATATAATTAGTTGGTATTTCACAACAAGGGGTGTTATAGTCTGTGTTATTGTTTGTGAGGGTGGGGGGGTATTGTGTGTGGGGGGGGGGTATTCTCTCAGAACCAGCTAAATACATGGGTCTGGGGTAGAGATCTTCAGAATTGGTTTGGCAGCCGCTGTGTCACCTCGTGGCTGAGCACAGTCTTATCAGGTCCGGCCGTTAACTCCATAAACCATCAGTGTTTGCCATCAAGCTCCCCGTGTCTCTCTGAGTTTCCTCTCCATTGTTCAGAAGTTTCCATCATACTTTGCACCTCAATGTTGATTGCCAGCTAATTGATTACGATGTTCACACACAGGGCCCACCAGGAGAGGTCATTCAGCCCCTGCCCATCCAGAGGAGTCCCAAGTCCAAGCGCTCCATCGACGCCAGCCAGCTGCTCTCTGAAACCGACTCAGAAATGCCTGCTTCTGACGCCACTGGCTCTGAGTTCCTGATGGGCAGCGAAGGCATGGAGGAGATCTTCGGCTCTCTCAACTCACTGCGACAGGAGATCGAGACCATGCGTTTCCCTCTGGGCACCCAGGACAGCCCCGCCCGCACCTGCCAAGACCTGCACCTCAGCCAGCCAGACCTCAAAGACGGTAAGGGGATTGTCCCACACAGTAGAGATAGTTCTTAACTTAACTGGAGTCTTGAGAGATTTAACAGATGTTTTGACCTTGTCTCTCTGCTGCCCCCTTCAGGAGAGTACTGGATTGACCCTAACCAGGGCTGTTCCAGAGACTCCCTCAAGGTCTTCTGCAATTTCACCAGCGGAGCAGAGACGTGCCTGTACCCGAGCACGAGCATCAACTCGGTCAGTCCAGCAAATCAGTCTGCTAAAAATACTGTGAAATGTAAACACTAAGCAAGTTATAAAACCATTAAACTAAACATTGTTAAGAGTACAGTATGTTGTATCAGACCCCCCTCTTTCCAGAGCAGGGGTGTCCAAACTATGGCCCGGGGGCCAAATGCAGCCCGCGGGCCATTTTGAATCAGCCCTCAGCAAATTATAATATTATATATCATTATAAGTATAATGGAATATGGCCCACACCTGAAACGTGTGCTTGTCTTATATTGTACTTCTTAAATATATATTTAAAACATATAGTAGTAGAATTAATGTGTTAATAAGCCCACTTTTCAAAATAAATGCAGTCAATTAAAGTTGGAAACATTTTCTAACAAATTTAAGTTGATAAGAAAAAAGCCCAAGCAAGCTTGAAATACACCCTTCCTATTCCTCCTTATTATAAGCAGTCTGAGGCTTTTGTTTTTAGGGATGAGATGCAACACTGTTTGTAACAGAATCAATTAGACCCTATGGAGAGCTTTGATGTAGGCTGTTTGTTTCTTAAGGCATTTTCAAGTATCAAGCATAATTTACCTACATTTGATTGATTTTGCTAACTTATAATTGAACTTATGAGGCAATATACTGTAACTCACCTCTAGCGAGCGGCCCAGCCCTTCGCATATTTTTCTGTATGTGGCCCTTGGTGAAAAAAGTTTGGACACCCCTGTTCTAGAGACTCATGTTCTTGACTGTTCTTAATTTTCCACATAAGCTGTATTTACTTGTATTGACAATGTTTACATTTCTTGCGGTAGGTGAAGATGAGCTCCTGGGACAATGAGACTCCAGGATCCTGGTACAGTCAGTTCACCACTGGTAGTAAGGTTAGTAACCCTCTGTCACATTAAGACAGATAGTAAACCTTGTGTATATAGTAACAAAAAAAAGAATTCTTAACTTTATTACCGTGGATTGGTTCTCACAATCTGTCTTCTCTTTCTGACTTCTTATCCCATCCTATTATCTGTTTTCCCCTCCTCAAACGCCAATCGAATACCTCCCCTCCTCTTCACCCTGCCCCCCCCTCCCAGTTCTCCTACGTGGACTCTGCTGGTGAGCCGGTGGGCGTGGTCCAGCTTGGCTTCCTGCGTCTCCTGAGCGTTCAGGCCCACCAGAACCTCACCTACCACTGCCACCACTCAGTGGCCTGGGCCGACCGCAGCGCCAACAACAACCACAACCGGGCGCTGCACCTCCAGGGGGCCAACGACGAGAAGCTGAGCTACGAGACCAGCCCCTACATCAAGGCCCTGGTCGATGGCTGCTCTGTGAGTGACACGGAAAACTGATGCTGTCCTGTTTAACACATATGAATTATTGTTGGTTTACAATGTAGAATATCTTTAAAACATGAAATATTCCATGCTGCACTATACAACAACAGCAACAGCAACAACAACAACAACAACAACAACAACAATAACCCATTTCTGAACAGTCTGCCATTCTTGCTTTCCTATCAATTAAACTGGCTCTCCCATTTATATACAATTGATTTGTAATGCAGTCACCGCTGCCTAGTAAGCTGGTCGAATCCCGAGCTGGACCAATATTTCAGGCAATGTCCACCCCTCTGTCTCCCTCTTTCATCTCCTAACCTCCAAAGGCCCTCTTAAACCAAACAACACTTGGTTTGCACTGTAGATTAATCCCTCCTGTGTTACGTCCCTCCTAAACATCATGTTTCAAAAGATAACACATGATCACATTTAGAACATAATGAAACTAGACCTTGAATGTTAATAGGGCCCCTTACCTTCCTCTACCACCATTCAACGTATTTGGTTATTAACATTTGAGAATGAATAAGTTGACTTCCTTCACTTTGGCATCACAATAAAGTGCACTTGAAGTATGCATTTAGCTTAACTTAAGACTCTTGAGAGTTGCCTTTTTTGATCTACTGCCTGTTGGATATATTTTTCTTGAAATCACACAAGATATGTTTTCATTTATTTGTAATCAATAATAAAGGATAATCTGTAGTGATTTTCAAGCATCGACAACCCAGATCTAAAGTGCATCAGTTATTATGTTTAACTCTCTTTCCAAGTTGTTTAATTCAAAGTCACGATACACAGAGGAGAAAAATGACAATTATACAGCGTTTAATACTTTGAATACTTTGATACCAGTTTCTGACCGGTGTGTTCCTTCTGTCCCTGCAGTATCGTAAGGGCTTCGACAGGACAGTCCTGGAGATCAACACGCCCCAGGTGGAGCATCTCCCTCTGCTGGATATCAAGGTGTCAGACTTTGGGGAGAGCAACCAGCAGTTTGGCTTTGAAGTGGGACCTGTCTGTTTCCAAGGCTAAAAACACACACATACACACACACACATCATGCAAAGAACAACACAAATACTCACGCACACACACATGCACTTAGAGACACACTTATATATAAGAAACATACATGCCCAGTAATTTGTAAATTAACTTGTAAATGATATGAAACACACACACAAACCCACAGACACACACACTTACACACGCGGATGCTGTTGTGAGACAAACACGCCCTCACACTCACGTACGTGCCAGGGGAAAGCAACATCCTCCCGACAAATAATGGACGGAGAAAAAAAAGGAAAGAGGAGAGAAGAAGAAAGAAACTCGCGGAGAGGAGACCATCGTTTGGGCGCACGACCGCGAGAAAGGAAGAAAAAACCAGGAGAGTTCTTCGGAATAAAACAGTGTTTTCTTTACCAGCAGCCACAGGGGCCGGCCTGAGACAGAGGGCAAGCCGGTAGCCTGAGGCCTGAAGCCCCCCGTCTCCGACCCCCTCTCACTTTTCTCTCTTCCCAGCCGTCTCTCTTTTTTTCCACTCATCTCACCTGCTCTACCTCCCCCCTCCTCTTCCCGAAAAAGGGTCACTCTTGGACATTATTTAAATGTCTTTGATTCCGCGTTCCCACTGTGAGCAATGTGTTTGACAGTCACTCCTTTAACAATAGGTGCAAGACGCTCCTATGTAGCTGTCTGCATCTACGCTGTTTCAGCATCGTGGTTTTGGTTCACTGCTTTGGCCTTTGATCCTTTAGTCATTCGTATAGAAAGTTACTCCTGATTTAAAGTTTTGAATCAACTTTTCATCACTTGCCATTAGCCTTTTGACTCATGAACCGAATTCCAAACCAATGAAAAGAGTAGAAACCTAACTGTGTCTGTTAAATCACAGCCAGTGGTCGCAAAAGTTCATCAGCGGCTCAGATCAATCTTTCTTCGTAAGGTCTAACTCATCTGGTTGTCTTATTGTGAAATCCAGTGACTTGTCAATCATGTTGCTCACAATGAAAACACAATGATCTCCCTAGCTTTTATCTTACTACACAGAAAAGAACCAAAGAATCAAAGCCACCAGTTTCTACCCAGAAAAAAGGAGAGAATTAACCAAATGATACCAGCTGGCTGTTTTTTTGTGTATTTTAAGCTGCCACTTGTCTATTGTAATATTCTTTTAATGAACACCTCGCAGTTTTAAAAATCAAATGTGATTCAGGCCAGTATAATGTAATCTTTCCGCCCTGAGAGCAGCAGAAACCTTAGTTGGATTGTTCACCTCTAATAAAGCATGCAGTGAGGCAAGAAGAAGATCCTAGATCAGTGAATAAAGCCATTATTTTGTAAACTGTGCTGAACTTGACACTATTGTAATTGCATTTTACTTGTGCTTTTCAAAAAGAGCTGATTCTTCTTCAGATCCAGGATCAGGCTACCAGGGTCGCTACCACACACCAGTCCAGTATTTGCTGAGTCACTTTCTGGGTCCTTTGAATATTGTTTTCCATCTGATTTCTCATCACAGCTCAGAACATCGTCAGGGTTTAAATACGTATATGAGATGAAAAGGTCCCGCCTTCTTTTTCTTAAACAGCAGTGAATAAAATGCATGCCTTACTGAAAGAAACTGTGTGGCAAGGTGTTACTTATACCAAAGCATAAAAGTCTTAATATTCACTTTGAGTCCTTCATTTCCTTTATTCTCTTTCCATGAAGCTTTAACTGGGGGAAATGTGCATTACATTCCATTTGTACAGAAATAGTGATATTCTATTGTATTTATTTAAAAACAAACGGGGTGCTTTGAAATAAAAAATACACGGACCACCAAATATTCCAGTCAAATGTGGTATATTTCATTGTATTTATTTCCTGTAGTGCCTCACATGTTAGACTCACTGCCAGCCTGAGTTATGGTGCTTCTGTTCACGCCCTGTCCAAACTCCTTTTGTAGAACCAAAGAATCTGTGGCCATATTTGATTGTAACATCCCTTTATAGTGTTTTCAACGACTGTACTGTGCTGTTACATTTTGCTTCCTCTGTAATGATTAAATGGTGACTCTTCAGTTCTGTCACATGTCCTTGTCGTTGCTACTGTTTGACTGGTGGTTCATTGGTTTCAGGCTCAGATTATTGCGTAACAGGGCTTTCAATTGCAACACAAGAACAGTTCTACATTCAGGAGCTGAAAATACTCTTCCGATCTTTGACATTTCTATCTGAGACCACAGCGGGGAGGAGAAAGGTTGTGAGAGGGTGGAGACAGCTCTGTTAGCCACCAGTGGATTAAAAGTGATTCATAAGAGTATTGTTTATAAGTATAATGTGGCTATGGGGGGATATCATACTAGTTCTGTTTTTTCTATTTGTCTTTTTTTTACTATAGCAGGGAAACCGGGCGGGATGGCCTAAACCTAAAAAACGAAACAATTCTGACCTTGAGATTCTCCAGAGAGAATTACCTCAAATATTTGTTTTATTGTGTTGAAGACAAATGTTTCAACATAAGAAATATGGTGCTGAAAAGAGAAAAAAGTATTATTTTATAATGTGTGTAAGTAATTTTTAAAAGAAGTCTTGTTTCTGTAATATATCATCTTTTAAAAAGAGCTGCTTGACTCTTGTTTTTCTTCCAACGCCCCGTCATCTTTAGTTGTTGTCGATCTTTTTGCATTTGTTCAGGTTCTTTAGAGCGGGGGGAAATTACAAGACAATACATAATATTCTGTTCAGTGGACAAAACACTGCGGAGTGTGTCAGGTTGTAGAGGACACTTTGTGTAAAGCTTGTGGGTACATTGTGACACCTTCCAAATGTATCTTAAATTCTACTGCTGTTAGAGAAATATGGCAATTTGATGGAAATATCAGAAGTTAGAAGTGAAAATCAGATGGGAGGTAAATGATATGGTATGCCATAATTTATAATATAGTTGAGTTGACTATAGTAAAGTATATTATAGTTTGTGTGCTGCAAATACTTCATATCATAGTTTAAAGTATTTCTTTAGTATAGAAAAGTAAAAAATGTCCAGTGTTCCATAAGAACATCACAGTACAGTATATAGTATTCTATTCTATGACTTGTTGACATGCTGTAACTGAATTTTCTTCATATATCAACAAACTATACTATGCTGTTTTATGATATTTTCCGATATATTCTTTTCACATACTATACCATCTCGTTTTTTATAATATTTTCAACATACTATACTATTTTTTTTTTCTGATATTTTTTACATACTATACATAATATAAATGTAAGACGTTTTTAAGGATATTTTCAACATTACATTCATTTGACACACTTTATGTTGTTTTTCATTACATTTTTGGACAAAGGTTTCTTTTACTTTTAACATACTATTCTGTGTCCTTTTTTTTGGACACACCATACTATGACTTTTTCCTGATATTTACAGCATATGGTACTATGGTGATTTTTTCTGATATTTTTGGTGTACTATTCAATGCTGTTTTTCTGATATATTTGACAGACTCTACCACGGCTTTCATTTAAATCGTTTCCGTTATTCTTCAAAATACTAGAACATTAATTAGACAAACTTGTTTGTTTTGATATTCTCTTTTTTCCAAAATGCTATACTACACTGAACAAAAATATAAACGCAACACTTTTGTTTTTGCTCCCATTTTTCATGAGATGAACTCAAAGATCTAAAACAGTCAGTATCTGGTGTGAGGGTTAGGATTAGGGTTAAGGTTAGGGTTAGGATTAGGGTTACGGTTAGGGTTAGGGTAATGTTGTGAATCGAGTGGCCCATGGTGGTGGTGGGGTTATGGTATGGGCAGGCGTATGTTATGGACAGTGTTGGGCAAGTTACTTCCAAAATGTAATATATTACATATTACTTAATACTCTCTTTTGAAAGTAATAAGTTACATTACAATATTACTGTCTCTGAAATGTAATGAGTTACACTACTTTAGTTACTTTGTAGTTACTTTCACCAAAATAACCGCAAAAGAATAGCTAGGTATTTTAAATGCTAAAATGTAGTTTAGTGCAGCTCATTATGCATCCAGTGAAGGGCAATGTGGTATAGCATAACAACTGTGTAGGCCCTTAAGGCTACTAACAACTTGTATTACACGGCTTAGTTAAATACTCGATTCTGATTGTAAATTCTTAACATGCGACACGTTGTTAATACAGCAGTACAGACCGCTGTCAAGGACTATAATGAAGGTTAACATATTGTAAATCAAGGCAAATATTATTTAAACCATGACTCATGGTTTGAAAATGGCAAAACATACGAAAGGCAAAAAGTATTAATTAAAACCAATGTAGCCTACTACATCATCACCTTGGTCCCATCATATACGCTGGAAGAGAATATTTACTGTGCTTGAAAACTGGTATCACATCCTCATGTGAGGTTGACTTTGTGACCTGGAGAACATTTCAGCCTCAACATCAGCTCGTTGATAATAAGCTTGGGATATGAGATATTTTTGTAGCCATTCGTGGTGAAGGCATCTGTGCTATTGTATGCATTATTTTTGACCCAACATTTCTAAAGGCATGTCAGAATATGGTACCATTTTCACATTAATATTCTAGCCATTGTCTATTTTTATACCACAAGCTGCAAAATGACCGCCTTACCCCACTGTACAGGCGGGTAGTTGTTTAGATATACCTGGCACCTGCGGGCCGCAGAGGGGCGGCGTAGTTTCGGGCGACGAAGACTGCTGCTCCGGGGCCGGCAAGTCAGGCGGGAGTAAGCTAGTGTCCACAACGGAGGGTAACGTGATGTCCGCATCTGACCTTTTGCTACTGTCTGCAGTAGATGCAGTGTTGCTGGCGTTTAGTGATGGTTGCTTTAACCATTTTCGTATAAATGATTATCCACAGATCAGATGTGTGTCACTG